CTTGTGCAGTATTATCATTGTTTAGGATGTGATTTCATATCATTTTGCGCAATGTTGTTTTACCAACGTCTTGTAGCAATACACGATAAGTTGTAATGCATGGTGATAAGTCTTAGAGATATATGCTCTCGAAGCGTTTGTGAGGTTTGCCACAAGAAAAAATAAAGGTACAGGATTTTTTCATGCTATGAGTTGTTTTGGGGTTTTCGGTTGGAATGGGAGAGGAAGGAAGTGGAAGGAGTGTTGTAGCTTGTTCTTCGAGGTGTAATATTTATGCAGGAGGCATCTTAGCATGTGTGCCTCTGACACTAGATATCGCATGAAGCAGCATTGGAATTTGTAAATAGCTTATTATTCGGCCTCATATTGGTCCTATCGGTGACTTAACTTGGTTTTATATGGTCCGAAATTCGAAAATATGATGGTAAGCATATACAATGTCTAGGATGATTTGTACCTGGTTTTGTAACACAAATTGTTTAAACCCTGCGTCTGGAGCTGGGTTTCGGGAGATGCGCTCCATCGTGTAGGGATAGATTTACGTGTGTGATCTACAACTTTTAGCCTCAATATATCGGGCTTGTCGCAACGTGTATTTCCGCTTTGTCTCAAAGTAATCCCTGGATTCTTACAAGAATAAGCCTAGTTTGAATAGTATAAGCATATACAATGCGGGCAATAAGCATAACTCCAGGGATGGCTGCATTCGGTGAGCACGCCCGTAATAGCATGGACCACATCCCAATACATACGAATATCAATAGCGAAAGGGCTAGGTGCGTTTTGTAAAACGAATATCTTCTACCGCGTAACCCTAGAGCGAAGTTTAAATCGTAGTAACTCTGTGGGCTTCTAGCCTTAATATCCCAGTCCATGGTTATCTGTGACTCTTCTCAACAAATGTTCTCTTCCGACATTTCTCCTATCGTTTCGATGCTTTCTTGGAATGTATGTCTCAGAGGGGTGGAAGTGATATTTCGTCGATAGTTATTAGATACCTCGCATGTGATGTGCCATACTGTCACATATAGGCAGTCGAGCTGTTGCGTCTATACCTTTGTCGGGGCATGTTGTTGGGAGTCTGAATGTAGTGTTAACCGAATGCGGCCGTTTATCACTCAATGTTGAGCAATCACACAGTACTGGTTAGAGCTAGAGGCGTGAAAGCACCTGTGGGGTAGCTACAGCTAGAGGCTATAGATTAAGGCCGCTTAGCTGAGTGTGCTTTCCCAGTTCGCTGGTTAGACATTGGGTTCGCCACCATTTTTGGAGCGGGATGCGTTCAGGCATTGAGTGCTGGGAAATTAGCATACATCGTGCACACCGTTACATGTTTGCACGTTGGACTTAAAACCCATTACCGTTGACAGTTATCACGTACCGGGAATGAATAATGTTGCTGGGGCGGCCAAGTGCACATTACTGCTCTGATAGGAGGTGGACACTGATCTGGCATACGGCAGGAAGTATTGAATGACTCCATCTGCTATGTCTGTTTTATGCTTGAGTGAGCGGCTGAGCTCTGGTGTTCTGATTATATGTGTGTTCCTGTGAGTATGGTCCAGGTGTCCCTTGATGTAAGATGATGAGGATGAACTGTCAGATTGAGTTATTGATAAATGGGGACGTAAAGATATAAAATACGCAGTTCACGAGATGCCTGAGAGAGAGATAATATGGCTGTCTACTCGCTTATCGAGAGTCCATTTATTATGAGCGCACCACCACATCGAGTGTGGGTCATTCCGATGTTTATCCAAATGCACTGGTCTTTACTAAGAGGTCTCCAGCTTGAAACCGAGATACATCAGAGTCGTGTGAGATCTGACGCCTCTTAGAATTGAGCTCTACTATCTTGTTCCACTCGTAGTACATAATCCTCGCTGAGCTACTTCGATAGAGTGGTGATAGAGGCTGAGGATTGGTGTACGGCCCGGCTTGTGCCATGACGTAATATGTCCGGAATTTTAGGCGGCTGGTTCTGTAGATAGGTTCTATGCACTCTTTTACCGCTTTCCTCCATCGACCTCACGGCTTTGGCACTTCCTGCCTCTCATGTGTAGTCGTCTGGCCGGATATAAGGCGCAGGCTAGAGCATGAAGAACTTTCTCGTTTACGCGTATTTACATGACTTGATTGATTTAGTGACGCTCCGAGAGCTCTGGAACTTGCGACCTCGTATTGTCTTTGATGTGTGTTGATAGATAAGCTCTCCTCCCATAAACTCAATGTCATCCGGAGAATCATAGCCTGATATTTACTACACTGTGTCATGCAGTTAGCACGATTTAGTGGCCAAGGTCCGAGGACAGACTTATCCATCACTTCATAATAGGTACCCCAACGTCTGAACACAGGTGTTAATTCGCGTCAACTAAGAATATAGATGAATGCCACACCGCTCTCGAGAGATGATCAGTGCGTAGGCCAGAGTGTCTTCTTTCTAACTTAGCTAGCGCCAGCAATGTGAGTACTCGTTAGCTCTACGCTTTATTGCGGCTAATGGGTCCGTACATACGTAAACTCATATGGTAACCTTGCACATAATTGTCCAGTCCCTATTGAACGGCCCGCGCGGTACCTATCACATATTGATAGTAAGCGTCAGGTGGCAGCGGCCATTGACTGTGATTCTCTGGTCCCTCGTACTAGTATTGAAGGGGCAGCTGTCCTGAGACTATGCACGATAGAGAGTTGAAGCTAACGCCACAACGCTTCCATCTCTATCACAGTTCCGGTGTTGAGGCACAACCAATATTAGCTAAAAAGTGTAGGCTCGTCATGAGGCACCAAGCTCCCATGGTGGCGTGAGTTTGTTACAATCTAAGCTGCGGCATAGGTACTACACGCGCGCATGCACCCCATCAGGCTTACACCGGTGATGAAAGCCACTTGTTAGCCAGGTATGCTATGATCGGTATCGCACACTCTGCTTGAGGCAGTTTCCCCATATCGCAAGGTACGCAGCGGTGGTAGCGCAGAGCCACTGGTTCACGGAACCCACATCCCTGATTCGCTGGCTTCTCCAGACTCGTTATGAAAGCTCCACTCGAATGCCTGTCGGAATTCCTTGATGCTACACACCGTCGAGAGTCAGTTCGACTGATTTCGCGCATTGATAGGGCGTCCCTATGCTACAGTCTCTCTCAGACTGTATTACATGATAAGCTCCAGTAGTTGACGCCTGGTGAACACTAGTGATTGCGCTTCACTGCTCTCATGCTTACGGTTACGCCCCTGTCCTAGACCGTCGCCTAACGTCAAGTGACCTCTGTAGTATGAATACCTTAGCTCACCGGTGACATGAGAAATAAACCGAATTGCGAGGCTCCTGTGAGGTTAAAAAGATTCATAGATGGTCAGTGGAAAGATAGGTTATCGCCCTTTGAGCTTAGTCTCCGTCCGTAGAATTAATACCGTACTGTCGTTTTTAGTGTAGCTCGGAGTTGTCATGTATCCAGGAGCATACGGCTGGCTCTCTGACTTCCGCGTAGTGAGGGTCGTTCGGTTGGCTGAATTAGCGTCGTATAGCTATATAGTTCGGTCCTGGCAACAAAGCTCTATGCTAGGCTTCGGGTGTGTGCCGATATAGTGTCACGTTTTCCGTCATTTTTGTGATTAATATCTGGATCGGGGCCACGGCATCGGGTCCTACGCTTATAAGTATTATCCGGCATATGAACTGTAGCATGCGCGTTAGTTCGAGGTAAAGACGTTGTAAGGAGCACAAACGCTCTCCTCTTTACTATCCTCTGAGAGTCGCGGAATAAGACGTTCGTATGAGACAGTTGTTTATTAACCCGAGTCTGCACCACTCATACGCATAGGCTGACACCTGCCTATATCTCAGGCCGTCAGAGAGTGAAATTGGCCTGTGAACTTAGTCCAGCACCGCCAGGGTGAGTGAATGGCCTCCTCCTAAGGTTCCGAGTGTCCAGCAAGCACTTCTTTGCTGATCGGATAGTGACACCACCGCTCTGTACTGCGGGTCCTGGTCTTTTGATTCGCTTTACATCCTGTTCGTTATACGGTCTGCTGTAGCGTGTCCTCTCGCTAACTCATGAGGCCGTGATGATCTATCCAAAGTAAGTTGTTCCCGTTGGCGTCTAATCGTTCGAATCTCTGGCGCTGGGCATAGGCACCAAAGCGTTCGGAGTTGGCGGGGGTGGGAGAGCCCGTAATTGGGCAGTAGACCACGGCGAGATTGCCCCGTCGCAGGGTATGCCTTCTCTGAGGCATTGTATGTCAGGAAACGTCATATTCCACAGATCGGGGTAACAGGTCCTTCCAGGTTACATTGCCTGTTCCTATCCGTATATGCGCGTATAATATAACCCTCCAGGTGTTGGTTGCGTCCCGCTACGGAGTTTTGCCGTCGAGGTTTGGGGGTGGAATGAGGTGGCAGAGTCATTCTACGAACCCCAGTCCTGTCGTATTGCGCCCAGAATGCTGACACGAATTGCGTTTCCTCTATCTGAGACGAATGCTCCTCAGGAATGTCCGTGGAAACGCGCAGATGTCTTTGACGAATGCGTTGGCGGTTTGTTCGCGTTGAATCAGTGCTCGTCGGCACTTGGAATGAAGTGAGCCATCATTCGGTAACAAGGCGGCGGGCCTCACGCACTAACTCAATACTTGACTCTGTTGGGAGGGTCCTGAGGGTTTCTCCTTAGGCCATCATACTATTCTGACGAAGTCCATGGCGAGCATAGCCATCAAGTTATCCACGTAGCATGTGTTTTGGGTGGCTAACTCTAAGGGGTTGAGGGTACGTGAACAACCGGGTTGTCTCGCGAGACGTGCTGGGCCTCTGAGCTCTCACTGGCAATACAATTTCGCAAGTCCTTGACGCACGAAGTTGCTACGGGTTCCGTGGCGGCTCATGTCCGGGTAAAGGCCACCATTGTAGGTTTGGGGCAGAAGTACTCGTTAATCGGGGTCAACGGATCTGAGAAGGGGTGTAGTTTTGATCCCTACCCTAGATGCCCGCTACGGGTCGATCATGAGTTCCTACGTGTTTCCAATGGGAACTGCTGGAAACCTGGCAGTATGGCTCGGCTACTTATGAGAGCACGACCGGTGAGTGGGCGTGCGGCGGCGACGGAGGGGCCATGAAGCCCATCGTGGGGATTCTGGGGGAGCACGCGCGCTGCCATCGCATCCCCCACCCCTCTCTGCCTAGTTGGTAGCCGCACGCCCACAGTTGCGCGGGTGATGAGCACGGTGAGCGCCATGTCTTCTTGTGAGAAGCCCTTGTCGAGGAGCTTGAGGTTGGTGACGGCGTCGTTGGCTTGGAAGCCGATTTTGCCGATGAGGTTGACTATTATGAGGGTTTGGATGTCTGCGGTGTGTTAGTGGGGTTAATTGGTAGAAGGGGTGAGGAGGGTGCGGGGGAAAGGTTTGGGGGGGGGGGGGGTACGTTTTGGGGGTTTTTGGGGGGGAAGATGGGGGGGGGTACGTTTTAGTTTGACGACTTTCCACATTGTCTTGTAGACTGCGGCGATGCCGTCGCGGTTGGAGTTCTTCTCCTCCTTCTTGATCAGCGCGAGGCCGAGGGTAATGATCAGATACGCCCATCCCCAGAACTTGAGATATCCGCTCAGCGTCATGAGGCCATACGTCTGCGGCACGGTCCTAAAGTATCTATTCGAGAATTCCGGGGCATTAAACGCCAAAAACACGGTAAACGATAGAAACTGCCCCGCCGTGAGCCCCACCGTCTGCGCCGTCGACGCATACGAGAGGTTCTCGGGACTCAGCAGCGTGAGCGCCCACCCGTCCACGGCAATGTCCTGCGTCGCGCACAGCATGACGAGCGTAAAGAAGACGAAGGTAAACATGTACAGCTTGCTGCTCGCCTCCTCCATGAGGCGGTCGACATTGCCGCCGAGCCAGATGAGCATGCACGCGCTGACGGTCTGTATGGGCACGATCCAGCTCTTCCGGCGGCCCATGCGGCGCGACCAGATTGCGTCGACGATGGGCGACCAGAGCAGCTTCATGCTGTAGGGGTACGAGGCGAGCGTGAAGACGCCAATCTCGCCGTAGCTGAGCTTGTGCTTGAGCAGGAAGGGGACGGAGCCCATTGCGAGCCCCATGGGCACGCCCTGCAGGAAGTAGAGCAGGACGAGGAGGGCAAAGTTGCGCTGGTCGGCGAGCGAGAGCGTGAGGAAGGAGGCGGCGGCGGGCTTGACATCGTGGTCGTCGTCGAGGCTGAAGGAGCTGCGCTCGAGAAGGGCCTCGGTCTGGTGTGCGCTTGAGGGGGTGCCGTCGTCGCCGTTGTCGAGGGAGGCGCCGTTCTTGCGGCGGTACTCGACGGAGGAGGAGGTGTTCATTTTGGCCTCACTGCTGTTGGTTGTAGTGGGGACTTTGCGACTTCGGGGCATAGTCGTCGGGTCGTGGCCTTCGGCGTCTGAGTTGTCGTTGTCGTCGTAGTCAGTGCTGTATCGAGGCTGTTGGTGGTCAGTGATGTGGATTGTTTTGAGTTCGACACCGTCGTCGTCGTCGTCGCCGTCGTCGCCGTCGTCGTCGTAGTAGTCTGGGTCGTCGTCGTTGTGGTGTTGGTGGTGGTGGTTGTTCTGGCTGTTGCTTCGGTGGTGCAGAGGGAGTGTGGAAGAGAGAAGGGGAATATGGCGGGAAGAGTCGTCGAAGGGTACTGGAGACATGCAGACGACGACTCAGTCAGTCAGTTTGGGTGTTGGTTATAGCTAGTGTGCTGCTGCTAGCGGCACATGGGGGCAATGATCGATTAGTCGTGAGGGCTCGTTCGGGGCTAGCCACGAGGAGGGTTAGGGGGGCGGCGATCGGTGGAAGATGCCAGATGTGCGGGCGTGTGTGTGGGGGAGGGAGGAGGGAGGAGGGAGAGAGAGGGGGAGAGAGGGGACAAAGGGCGAAGGGGGATTCGTGCAAAGGAGGAGGGGATATAGAGAGGTTATATCGATGTGGTAACTGGGAGGGGGACGCGTATTCCTCTCTCTCCCCTGTGGTGTAGAGCAGCGCTTTCTGTTTCTCTGTCTCTCTCTCTGTCTCTCTCTCTGTCTCTCTCCTAATTCTATCCGTCTACATTCTTTCACTCGGCGTAGGAGGTGTCGGTGCCCGCCCCCGCTAGCTCTCACTCTCTCTCACTCGCCCACTCTCACCGGGCATGCACTGCGCATAGCTAGAGTTCTCACTCATCGTGGACTGAACACTGAGGCTCTACTCTCGGCTCCACAATTCCCTCCAATCTCCCCTACCCACCCACAATCACCGTCAAGTAGAGTGCCTCCACCAAGCTAAACACACCCCCCAAAGCTCCGTGTCGTGTCGAGCATGTGCAATAGGCAATATCCCACGGCCACTATACAATACATCCTCCCCAGCAGTGACCACCTATGTAACTTCTCTGTGCCTCACACACCCCTGCCCAGCTTCTAAATAAAGAAAGAATCGACATGTGTATGGTAGTTTACCTGCATCTCTCCCCCTGCCAAACACCCAAACACTCACTCACGTCCTGCAAGCCACCCAGCCCTGACCCGACCCTGCTGAATCACCCTTCCTCGCCCAGAAGTCAGAACAGAGCCTCTGTCCATCGCTCGACAGACAGCCTGTGTAACCACCACTATCCCAAACACTCAAACACAAACCCTAACCACAATCAACAATCGCGAAACCCATCACAATCCCCATCCCACATAATACCAAATATCACAAACACCGCAAACAGCACCCATGGCCGCCCCGCCGCCCCCGCCCCTCGCACTCACAACCCTCCACGACCAGCTCCTGACCCTCGAGCGCCAAAAGGCCTCTCTGACCGCGCAGCTGCTCTCCCTCCGCGCCACGCACCCCCTCTCAAACACCTCACCACCCACCCCGCCCTCCTCCTCCTCTTCCTCCTCCTCCTCTTCCTCCTCATCCCCCGCCTCTTCCTCCCCCGCCTCCGCCACCACAACCGCTACAAGTACGCAAAAGACAACACAAGAGCCACTGACGGACGCCGACCACCTCAGCGCCGTGTTCGCCTCCACCACGGCCTCCGCCGCAGCTTCAATCGCGCGCCTCCACCGCATCGCCGGCATCACAACGTTTACCATCCGCGACCCGTCGCCGCCGCATACCACGCTGCTGGGCGTCAGGATCGAGGTGTTTTGTAACCGTATGTCTCCCCACCCCTCCTCTCCTCCCTCTCTCCCCCGCCCCTCTACGCTACAAAAACTAACACCAACACCACCACCACCCAGGGCAATTCCACCCCCCCCACTACCTACACATAACCCTCCCGCCGCCCACCCACGACCCCAAATCCGCCCCCTACACCATCCACCGCCACACCCTCCCCCCCTTCCTCCCGCTGCCCACGCCGCTCCCACCACTACCCACACTAGCACGCACCCTCCGACGGCAACTGACGCTGCACGCGCGGCGCGTGGCAGCCGCGACGGCGCTGCGCGCCGCAGCGCTCTCAGCGGGCCGCGTGGGCGACGTGACGGAGGGGTGGGAGAACCGTGTTTCGGGCGTGGAGTGGGACGAGGCGGTTAGTGTGGTGGTGGTAAGGTGGGGGTGCGGCGTGACGGGGTGGGTGTGTGTTGGTGAGGATGGAGGGGTGGGGAGGGTTGTTGTTGTGGGGAGGGGGGGGAGGCGGTATGGTGAGGTGGAGAGGAGGGTGAAGGGGGTGGGGTCGGGGGCGGGGGGGGGGAGGTTGGAGGGGGTGGCGGGGAGGGTGGGGTGGTGTTGATGCTGGTTGTTGGGTTGGGGGTTGTATGCCGGGCGGTGCTACTACTCGTGCAGATAAGCCTTTTAGCGCCGCTTGCTTGTATGGTCTGGTTCTATTCGTAGGTGTAGGGTTTGGGTTTGGGGGTTAGAAGACGAGTGAGAATGCGTGATGGTGTTTGGCCCGGCTTTTTTTTGGCCTCTTGTATTTTTTTTTTTTTGTACGCTTCCTGTCTCGATTTCTTTTGTCCGTGTAGGTACAGGTATGTGTATTAATAAACAGCTCGCGAGCTAGCTACATAGAGGAGCAGCGTAATTAGTCGTGTCTAATAGGTAGTTACGTATAACCCATCCGTCCGTCCGTCCGTCCATAGAGTAATAGTAGCTTATACATGTACATACATGTGGCTGTGATACATCGTTGTACCAACTGGCCAATAACAATATCACTATATATCAACCACAGCTAGTTGGTAGCGTATGTATGTATTAGTGTATTAGTGAACCTTGTCGACTCTGCCATATTTCCTTCCACGTAGAATATATACATGTAGTCATATTTCCTTCCCCGTAAAATAGCTATATTTCGTCAGATCCCCCTCCACGTAAAAATATATAGTCATCCTCCATCCATCCACGCAAATTTACAGTGTGGCGCATACAATAGGTGCAGGTAGCTTCGGCCTGATTGTCTAAGGGATAGCTACATATGTAGTAATATGGCCGAGGTATGGCCGGATGTATGAGATGGAATCTCGAGAGTTAAAACGTACCCCTTATAAGTGATGTAACGATTATAAAATTAAATATAATCCGTGGATTTGTGGTACATAGTTTACAGGCTGGTGGAGACCATAGTTTTTGGCAAGAGATATCATGATCGAATATCTAGATGTTGTCCATTCTGTATGTATATAGTAGGCTTATAAAAAAGAAAGAAAGAAAGAAAAAAAAAATCTAATGGCTCTGAAAAACACAGCTTAATTCTATCCTAGAGACAGACTCCTCATGCTCAGCTGTGTCATATCATGTGTATTATCAGATCAGAATATACATCTTGTTTAGCTATAAAGCTTTCATGATGTGTTGTGCTAAAACATTGGAATCTGGGGGGGGGGGGGGGGGTGCCTTTTGGCGTTAGGTCAATTAAACGTTGCATCACTTTTAATTCGCTACATACATATGTATTCACGCCCACGTTTTTAAATCCCCTTCCTTCCCCTTCCCTAGCGACTGCCATGGCCAGTGCACTCCATACAAAACTAACAATCCCTGTATATATATATCGCCGCCCGCACGTACGCCACGTTGTGGTTCTTATTCCTGCACCGGTGTAAGTAGGGTGGGGGGGGGGGTGGGCACCGGGCGGATGATTAATGAATTAAACCAAAAAAAGGGGGGGGGGGGGTGCATGGGACGTACGAGTGAGAATACGTGATGTGTGATGCGTGATGCGTGATGAGTGGATGCGTGGATGGTGTTTGGCTTGGTTGCGTTCAATCTGTATATATGTATGTACGTACATACCAACCAATAGCAATATCGATATCAATATCAACTACAGTTAGTAGTGTATTAGTGTATTAGTGAACCTTTCCTTAATGTAATTGTAATCATTTTTTTTCTTACACGTAAAATATATACAACATACGGGGTCAGTATTCACTTGTCGGAATACGTGCGCTCTAGATCTTATAGGAGTACGTACGTGTACTGCTTATATGAACCGCTTGGTTAGAATAATCGGCAGTCACGTATTATTAAATATATGTATGAGTAGAAATAAGTATGAT